CTGTCCGATGGATAGGCGTTCGTACACCGGATACACATTCATCCTGGCCAGTGGAGCGATTTCTTGGGACTCCAAGAAACAAAGGACAGTTGCCCTGTCTTCAACGGAAGCCGAGTACATGGGACTCGCGGAAGCTACTAAGGAGACCATGCATCTTCGAGGATTCCTAACGGAGTTAGGTTTTAAGAACCTGGCCGATACTAGAATCCTTAACGATAATATGGGAGCCCAACGACTCGCTGAAAACGCGGTTTATCATGCTAGAAGCAAGCATATTGACGTTCGCTATCACTTCGTACGCAATGCGTTGCAGGCCAAACAATTGAGACTGGAACATGTGTCGACGGACGACATGATCGCTGACATGCTCACCAAGGGTCTACCGAGACCGAAACATCAGCGATGTGTGGAAATGCTTGGTCTCGGAACTTCGAGGTCATCTTCCAAGGATCGACCCCGTCTCGAGGGGAAGTGTAGATACGACAGTCTCGTATACATGGATGGCGACCCGCGGTCGATATCGTGCTGCCATCTACACTCGGTTCCTTATAGGGACTTTTTCTCTATGAGTACCTTAACTATGTCGAGTCTACAGTTCAGTTCAAGCCGGGAGAGTTGTATTTCAAGTCGTTTCAATTAAACTTTTTGAACATTATTGTCGTAGATATTGTGTCCCGTTCTATTTCCACTGTCCTATTAACTCACATTTAGCAAATAAAAATTTACTTCTATGTTGTTACATATGTATGTGTATCGTTGAAATAAAAAAGTCAATATCAAAAATTTATAATTTAGTATTGAATATAAAGCCACTCATATTGGAACCAATTATATCAGAAATTTTAAATAAAAATGTTTCTTCAAGTTAAATCTTTTTAAATAAATATTGTATAAAATAATATCAAAAAGTTACTATTTATCTGTTTTTTGTCTTAATTAAAATACTAAGTAGACATACGCATATATATGTATATTTACTTTTTCTCCATGACACAAATATACAGGGTGGTCCTCGTAACGGTCGCCACGATTTTTAAGGCACTTACAATAATCTGACATAAAAAAATCATAAACAGAAATTTATCAGTTTCTAACCGGCAACAAATTGCAATAATAAAAATTGACCAAACATTTTTTTTTCCATAAAAAAGCAAGGTCACCTTCAATTTTTTAAATGGAACTGCCTACTTTTTATTGCATATTCTTGTAGCTTACTTCGAAAGCTTTCCAAAACACTATAATAAAGTATTTTTTCATTAAGTACTTTTTGAGTTATTTTATATCTTATTCTGACATATTTTGATATAAAAAATAAAATATCTCGTAAAATATTTAGTTTTCGATAATCTTACCGTAATACTTTTATGTACAGAATAATGAGACAAATCAATTAGTATAAAAAAATAATTGTTTTTAAGAAAAAGTATGTAATTATTTACAATGTATTTTTTAAAACAATTATTCGTTTTTTTTTAATTAATTGATTTGTCTCATTATTCTGTACATAAAAGTGTTCTGGTAAGATACTCGAAAACTAAATATTTTACACAAGATATTTTAATTTTTATATCAAAATATGTCAGAATAAAATATAAAATAACTCAAAAAGTACTTAATAAAAAAATACTTTATTATAGTGTTTTGAAAAGCTTTCGAGATAAGCTACAAGAATATGCAATAAAAAAAGTGGGATTCCATTTAAGAAAACATCGATCACATAGTCTTGAAAAGGTCATTCTAGGTCAAGTCCATATTTTCATCATGTGTCCCCCTCTGAACCATATAACTTTTGTATAGAACATTTTTTTCCATCTTGTTTACTTTACGAGATATAAGGTGACCTTGCTTTTTTATGGAAAAAAAAATGTTTGGTCAATTTTTATTATTGCAATTTGTTGCCGGTTAGAAACTGATAAATTTCTGTTTATGACCTTTTTATGTCAGATTATTGTAAGTGCCTTAAAAAGCGTGGCGACCGTTACGAGGACCACCCTGTATATCCCTTAAAAATATCAGAAAATTACAAGAAAGAAATATGGATAATAAAATAACATAATAATGTATGCTTTTTCCATATATATGGTTGAATTTGAGCAACACTCCTATTTTGTAAAGCTGAATTGTTTAATATTAATTTAATACGCAAAATATATTTTCAAGATGATAGTATTAAATCTAATAAAAAAGTGTTATATTCTTTATTAGAAAATATCTTATTTTATATTGATTACTATGAAAACTATTAATTATAGTAAACAGACATATGCATACACACACATTAAAAAATCTTATAATTATTTTTCAAATGTCCAGGATTCTTTGCATTATTGTAGTTTTTGACATTGCTCCTTCAGCAATTTTTATGCTTAAGTATATTTTTGCAACAATATTGTCTACCACCGTATTTAGGGCTGCAAAAAATTAGATAAATGTGAATTAGAAAAAATAACGTTATTATATACTATATAATACTAAAGAAATATCTAGGATCTTAAAATTTATTCTAAATTTTGAAATAGAGTAATATCACATAAAGTATTATCTAATATAATATATATAGATTCAATTGAACTAATTTGATTATACAGAACAAATAAATACAGAAAAAAATTACAACATACATGAAGCAATAAAGAGTCAAAAATATCACATTCTATTTTTTATTATTTACATTATACTCTGACTAAAGTTAATGTTAATGTCAATACTGTATATATATATATATACAGGGTGTCCCAACAAAGATTGTGAGACACCCTGTATATATATATATAGTGCCTACCAAAAGTTCCGGGCCACCTAAATAATTTTTGAATGGTTTGAAATATAGGATTGAAATTTATAGGGATACAATGGGATCACAAAGTCTATTATTTAACCACAAAAACACCCACCTCTACACCCGCGGGGGACGGGGGGAGGGGGGAGCCAAAAAATCTTAAATGGCATGTAGAGTTGAGTGAGGGCTCGTTCGAAAGGGCTTTCCGAGACGAAAACAACGCGAGATCGCCGAGGTCTCTACGATCTTCTTTCGCGGAGTTATGATCATTTGAACATTTCTATTAAGATTTTGCGATAGCGAGGGCCCACGGCGACATCAGAAGAAAGATAAGGTTTCACGCGGGCACGCGCGTTTCTGAGTGTGTGTGTGTGTGCGTGTGCGTGTGTGTGTGCGCGCGCGCGCGTGCGTGTGTGCGTGCGTGTCCGACCAATCAAGGCAAGACCGCTAGCATGTCCTGCCAACTAAGGCAAGACCGGGGTGGGAACACTGGTGTATGTGAAGGAATATAAACACTCGTTATTTTATCAAATGTTCAAATTGATGTCTTTCGACAACTTGGCAGTGTCCTAAGCGAATGTAAAACGTATCGATAACGTTAGTTAAAAAACTGGGTGTGATTGAATTTGAAACGTTCACTATTTTTTTCCGCAGCTCTTCTAAATTTTCGGACCTAGTCTTATAGCCTTTGTTTTCAAATACCCCCAGTAAAATAAGTCTAATGGGGTCAGATCTGGTGATCTCGGTGGCCATTCTATTGTGCCTCTTCTACCAATCCATCGATCAGTAAAAACATCGTTGAGAATATTTCGAGCTTCCAGAGAAAAATGAGCCGGAGCCCCATTTTGCTGAAACCAAACATTGTGGAAAACTTCTCCAGCAATATCCTGAATAACCGGTATCACTTGGTTTCTTAGCAAATTGCAATAATTTTGAGAATTTATGTTT